AGGGAGGGACACAGTTTTTGGGGAACGGGGTCCCCAATGATACATGCATCCTATTCAAGGTAGAACCGCAACTAAAGCACCAAACAGCTACACCGAGAGATGGAAAAGACTCAAAAGAACGTGAAATGGTGATTCTGTGACAACAAGCCTTGCGACTTTCGCAATCTCCAGAAGAGGCATTTGTTACGATCCCGGGCAATTTCGAAGTATACATTCATCTGAGAGTACAATGCCATCCAATTGCAAAAAGAAATGAATGAACTTGAGAGGAGAGAGAGGGAGAGAAGAAGAAGAAGAAGTAAGAAAGAAGAAGGAGATGATGTACTCCAGCATAGACCAATGACAAGGCTCTTCTTCTTCGCCAACCAATCTCTTCCTCCTTATCTCCTCCCCTCTTATTCAAACAAGAAATAACAATAATAATGTTGAATGACTGAACCAGAATCAATGTCCGAATCCCACTTCTACTGCAGGCACAACATGAGGTCCACCATAGCCTTGGCCACCCTTCCTCTTCCTCTACATACAGACCGAGGCTATGGAAGTGCACTGAGGGCTCTCCCTCCTGTCCAAAGGACAACCCAAAGCAGCTATGTCGCTGCCCTTCTGTCCCAAGGTCAACACCATGCAGCTATACCGCTGCCCCACTCAACCGCCACGCCTGACTCTGCCCCGAGCTTCCTTGATGCGGCACTACCCCCACTGGGGCCTTCCAGATGCAGCGCCTAACAAGGTGATGAAGATGGTGTCTGCCATAGCCAGGTAAGTACCCCACCACTCTCCTCCTTGGTCCCCTTCTCCCTCCTCCTCCTACCGGTAGAGCTCCACCATAGCCAAGGTGGAAGCTCCCGGCTTCTTCCTCCCAGCAGCGCTGTAGTACCCAGCGCCACTCCAGCCAGCGCTCCAGCAGCGTGTCACCAAACTTGCACACTGAAGAATGAGGCCAAGCTCTTGCCTCGGCCTCTTGATATAGCGGCCTGCTTGCCTTCTGGGCGGTGACTTCCAGGCCGCTCGGCCTCCCAAGCAAACGGTACCTCCTCCCTTTCCGAGGGAAACATCATTGCAGACTCTGATATTGCCCGTACAGGCTCTAGACTCAGACTGGATGGACTGGTACCGGCCTAGACCTAGCCTACCGCTACTGGGCCTCTAAAAATGCCAACTTTGTCTTCTTCTGCTCGGCCTCGAGTACCCGGCACATCTACCGCTACTTGGTGCGGTACCGGCCTACCTGCTACTTGAGTGTTTTTCCGCTGCTCTAAGCACCGCGGGCCCCTGGCTCCGCTACTTGAGTGTTTTCCCTGCTGCAACCCTCAATGCCACGGCCACAGGTAAGTACCGGCCCTATGGGCCTGCCAAACAAGCAAGTACCCGCGATCACACACAAACCCATGCTGACAAGCACTCAGACAGGCACGCAAGTCCACAGGCACACACACATACAGACTTAGAAAACACAGCAGAATGCGGGAATCTCAGCAAGGCATCCATTCCATCGGCAGAACTTCAGAAATCAGCAGTGTTCTCAGGCTGTTTTATAGCGGGTCATTACACATTGCTCACTGAAAAAAAGTTTCAAAATGTTCTTTTAAGTTTTAAGTGAAGAGGTGCTACCATGCATGAGGAAAACGGGAAACGACCATGGAGGCGGGGCAGCCACATGCCTGAACTCCTTATCGGAAACACCCGGTCCAGCAACAGCTTCAACCTGCAATCCCGCCACGTAGATGATGGTCGACGTGCCTCCCTCATCTTGGCGTCCCCCGGCCATTGATCTGGAATCGTTATCCGTAGTACTCCGTCCACTCGACACCGCAGCTGACGTGGCTGCTCCTGCTGACATGGCTGGCATCCGAATACTCTGGTTCTCCTGAACTGATGAAACCAGTGGAACTACGTCATCCTGGCCAGCAGAAGCAGCAGCAGCAACATGCAGGGAAGTAGTTATGTCAGTGTTGTTCTTCTTCAACAAAGAAGGGAGTACGCTGCTTGTCCACGTGTAACAAGAAACTGGGTGGATCTGCCATGTCAGCAATCGAAAACCTTCATTTCCATTTCGACGACGAACAGTCGACATTTTCGTCCATTCTGTGGCCCACCCATAACCCGACGCCACAGTCTGACACGATATAGTCCTCGGTCTCGGGCCGCCAGAGTCGTAAATCCCACACGGAACTGACTTCCCCAGTGGCCGCAGCCTTATGCATGAAGGTCGTGTCGCAGCCGCCCCCACACATGGGGCACGGGACAGGCCTGAAGAGAGTAAGCCCAGCACACCATTGACTTTGACTTTGACTTCAACCAGCATTCTGCAACAAGTGGTCCCTGTAGGAAAGTGAAGCAACTTTTGCCGCCTCACTGCAGAGAAGAAAAGTCAACACAAGACTTCTTTGGATTGTTGACCAACTTTTCTGAAGGGTTGGCCTACTTTTCTGAAGGGTTGAACTTGCCCTACTTTTCTGAAGGGTTGGCCTACTTTTCTGAAGGGTTGACCTACTTTTCTTCAAGGTCACCTCAACTGGGAGTGGTATGATCCGCAAAGTTCACAAACACCTGCCGCGATGGCTGAATACAATGAATAGACCGCACAAGTATAACTGTGTTAAAAAACACATCAAGAGTTCAAATCGTCCTGTATACAGGAGCATGAGGACGAAGGACAGAGCACGAAGACGAAGGACAGACACAAAGTCTAAGTATAAACTGAAGATCTGAGGTGAGACGGACATGAGTATCAAGATCTAAAGTGAAATGCACAGGAGCATACCTTCCCCTTTACTCTGCCTCTGGTTATAACGTGCAAGTGGGCAGCTGCCGCTTAACCACAATCAACGTGGGCAACCTTGTACGTGCGAGGCATGGTAAAAGAGGAGCTGTTGCCCCAAAGAAAACCCAGTCAAACACAGTTCTAAATGGTTCTAATATCATTCATGTTGCTTGCTGACGAGGTGGAGTTCTTTAAAATTTGGCTGGCCCAACTCAAATCTACTCGTCTGGGTGGGATAGGGGCTTTTTTTTTTCTTTTTTTTTTTAATGGGAATTCTGCAAATTGTTCAGTTCTACATTCTCCAACAGAAACTCTCGCCATTTCTTCCTACTCAAGTCCAAACCAGCTCAGCGGGACCAAGCTTAAGGAGGAGGGAGGGAAAGGGTCTGGGAATTCTGAAAGGGGGCGAAAGGGTATAGCAGGGTCTACATTTGTCCATTCCTGAAACTTTAAACGGTAATCCTTGTGGATTTCTTTATTACAACCAGCCATTGTTTCGCCCCTGTCTCTGCCCCATATAATCTTCCCTACCTTKCCCCCTTGAGGTCCTCCTAGCCATGCGCCACTGAACTGTTGWATGTGMTGGTTAATTTCTTTTTCWGAGGATAGAAATTTGATCTTTTCTTTTACTTTATCCCATTGGGCTGAGATGGTTGTCTGTACTTGCATTTTGATTGATTCTGTAAATTCTGGGCCATCCRGCCTTACTCCCTCCATTTCAAAGGTACATCTTCTCCTCCATAGGGCCCAGAGGATTGCTCGTCTTCCACTTACAAATAAATTATGTGAGAATTCATCATTTTGATCCGGAGACCAGGTTTCACATAATAAAGCTTTCCACTTCCACGGCCAAGTCTGAGTTGTTTTAATGTTGGTCCAGATCCTGTCCCACCATCTCCACAGCCAAACTGCTCCTGGACATTGCAGGAAGATGTGTTCAATGGTTTCCGRAATTTTCCTAGATGGAAAAGAWGAACAGCACAGTTTACACCAAGGTAATGCTWCCCCCCTTTGCTCAAGAGAGGATYTGTYTATGAGYCAGTCATTGGTTGGGAGACRACGATRGTCTATCTRCCATTGYAGTGAGGCAACTTTAGCTGGCTTGGTCTTTATCGTTTTGAACCATTTGATGTTTCGTACTTCCTCCTTGCTGACATTTAGTTGTTTCATCCATCTTGCTTCCACTYTGTCTTTCAGGTTTRACCTTGGTCTTAACATACGGTASGTTGATTTGACTGTAAGYGAGTGAAGGGAACGGGTGCATTTTCCTCGTCTTCCCATRGGRACCGTCCATATCCAGGCTGCCGGGTCTAAAGCCAAGTTGTTAATCGCACATGATGGCTTAAAAGCCAGCCAATGTTCTTTGTTTCTCAAGACTCTAATCCTGAAAACTTGCTCTGTTGTGACCCATCTGGATTCCTTTGATTAGCTTTCCATAATCATATATTTTGTGTGAGCGAAAACAAGGAGATAAGGATGGCCCCATCTAAATTTACCATTATTACATTTCCGACTAGCTGGGTCTGCCAACCCAATCACCTTCCTTAATTTGTGGTCCCTTTTTGAGGATCTTCACCCACTCTAAGGGAATGGATTCAATTATTGTCTCCAGTGCTTTTTCTGTCCTCCTACAATAGCGCAATCTGGGTTTGCGGTCTGAGTGTGAAAGCCAGTCTAGATTCTCTGAACTCCAGATATCCCCAATTCTAAGTATGCCTTTTCTAATTCATCCCTTCCAGGGAGAGTCCATGCAGTGGAGCGTCCTACCCTGAGTGTCAGTAATCCATCTATTATTGAAAAGCGGTTGTTGACATACTTCTTCCCACCGATTTGGTGGAACCTTATCTGGGAGCGGAAGTTTGCGCCAAGTCCGTAGCAGCTCTTTCCAGAATGGATCGTTTTTCAAATCTTCCCTTGTTGCTCGACGATGAGGGTCTGTTTCTTGTGTTGAGGCCTATATTTTGCCTTTAGGGATTGTCCAATAGCGATTCTCCAACCATATCATCGGATCTGTCCCCTTAGGAGTAGTTGGTGCTAGTCGTGAAATTTGCTCCTAGGCCAGAGCTGACCATGGTACATTTGGATTGAAAAGTAACCTTAGTATCCACTGAATGGAGAGAGCCATTGTTTGAGTGGCAGGGTCTAATATTCCCAATCCCCCTCTTATCTTGGGTTGGATTATCGCTTGCCAGGCCACTCTACTTATTACATTCTTATATTCATGGTTTCCTCTCCAGAGGTAAGCTGTGATTTGCTTCTGTAGAGATTTGAGAGCTTGTTTGTCCAGAGACCATACAACTGATTTGTACCATATCGATGCAAGAATGACATTGTTTATAATCAGCGATCGACCAATTATAGATATCTGTTTATCTTTCCATAGTTCTAATTTAGCTAAGGCCGACTTGGAAATCCAGTCATTGTTTGTTGATGGTTTTCCTTCTGCAGATAAAGAAATGCCTAAAACTCTGATTGGGGTTGTTAGTGGCATCCAATTAATCCTTGGTTGCTCTGGGGGTCTCACTCCCTGGTGATGTATCCACCAACCTTGAGTTTTAGCCCCCCTGTTTATCCTCATATCTGATAGTTCACAGAATTTGTCCATCAAAAGTTTAATTGTTGTTAAATTATCCACAGAGGCTTCTACCATAAAGGAGAGATCATCAACAAATAGTGAGCATACCGGTATAGCCTCTTCTGGAATATAACTGACCTGTATTCTTTTAATATCCTTGTTGCAACGTAGGTTAGCCGCTAGAACCTCCATTATGAATACAAAAAGGAGAGGGGTAATCAGATCTCCTTGTCTCACTGATCTTTCGAGTGAGATTGGTGGTGCTAGATTTCCATTTATCATTACTCTGGTTGTGGCATTTGAGTGCAAAATCTCTACCCATCTTCGAAATTCAGGACCAAAGTTAAATTTTTCCAAAACTTTATCAAGAAAAAAACAATCCACATGATCGTAGGCTTTCTCAAAATCTATGAATATAAACGTTGCATTATGTTTGGATTGTCTTGATAGTTTAATTAATTCATTTACTAGTAATATGTTGTCCTGAACGTTCCTTCCCTCAATAAATCCTGTTTGAGTGGGATGGATAATTTCAGTTGCTATTTTCAGTAAACGATTCGCTAACGCCTTCGCAGCCAATTTATATACCACTGTTAGAAGGGTGATAGGTCTATAATTATGGATATTAGTCTTGTCTCTTTTTTTATATAGCAAAGTCAGCACCCCTTGATTGACTAGTTCCCCCATTCTACCTTTGACCCATACTGCGTGGTAGAAATCCATGAGATCTTAGGCGAGAAAATCCCACATGGTTTCCCAGAATTCCTTCGGTCGACCGTCTATTCCTGGAGTCTTATCTTCCTCCAACATCATAAGGGCTGTCCAGATTTCTTCTTTTGTTAGCGGCTCATCTAGCATGGAACTCTGGTGCTTTGTTATTGTTTTGTTCAAGGGTTGAAGGAATTTCTCTATTTCCTCCACCCTTTGTTCTTGGGGTTGGTGTTTGCATTCCGATGTGAAAAGATTTTTATAAAAATCTCTCGCGATTTTTGTACATTTGCTGTCGATGTTGCCAGAGACTGATGATTTCTTTGTCCGACCTGTCCTAGCCTTCGCTATTGCAAAGAACCTAGCGTCCATAGATCCTTCCGTGGTATAACATCTCATCTTGCCTCTGATTCTGATTCCATGCCATCGATGTTCCATGTGATCTAGTAGTTTGAATTCTAATCCCTTTAGTTCCGCATTTATCTTGACTAATTCTTCATCACTTCCCCCTTCCTCTTCTTGTTGATGTAAGTCCTTATGTTGTTTTTGTAGATTGATTTCTTCTATATGGCGTTGCTGGGCAAGCAATTTGGAATATTCATTGCATTTACGACCTAGAAAATTCAGACCGTTGTTGAACCAACATATGTCATCTTGGATTAGGTCCCTTTGATCCCTCCAGAAGGACCAGACATCCTGTAGGTATTCCTTAAATCGATCAATCTTCAGTAGAGAAGTGTTCAATTTGTAGAATCCTCTGCCCTGATCCGGCTTTTTCCTGAATGATAATAAAATCACATTCATAGCGTGATCAAGGCCTGGAAAGACACTCTGAGGGAAGATGTCAGCTATTTGAAGTGCACCCCGCAACTCATTAGACAAGAGTATAAGGTCTATGCGGGATTTCAAGGTTCTCATCATTTGACCCTTTCTAAAACACGTGTAGGTACGTTTTGTTGGGAAGAGGCGCCTGTAAGCATTAAAGAGGTGAAGCGATTGACACAAGCTCTCAATGATTTGTTCATCCGTCTCAATATATGTTTGGCAGGGGGAGGGGATCTGCCAACGATCCAACTGTCTATTGAGGGTTGCGTTGAAATCCCCTGCCATTACAACTGGGATCCCAACTGGAAGAAGATTTTTTAAAGATTCAAAAAACCTTCTTCTTTCTCCTACCTCATTTGGACCGTAAACACACAGGATGGTTATCACCTCTAATTCTAGCATTGCTAATAAAAATACCCATCTCCCCTCCTCCTTATCTGCCTCCCAGTAAAGAGGTTCAATCCTTGAGTTCGGAGGGATCCATATATCTACCCCTGTGCTACCTGGTCGTGGGGAATGTGCTATAAAGGCTTGATGAGGCCATATCTGTTTGTGAGTGTGTTGATGATCTGCGTTATCCATCAAGTGTGTCTCTTGTATACAGRTAGCATCGGGYCATTCTCTGCCTTCCACTCCTTTGAATTATTCCCAGATAGCCTGTCTTTTCTTAGGGTTGGCAGACGCTAGGCCATTCACATTAATCGATCGAAGGTCTAAATCTGTTGCTCTCTTTAACAGTTTCCATTCCTTATTTCTATTGTAAAGTACGTCCACTGTATTCATACCTTCCATCTTTGTTAGGTTTGCTATCTGTTAACTATAATATTTGTATAGATCTGGAAATATTCCCTAGTTCTGGGAATGATCACAGGGCCAACCAATGACCTGAGTCCAACTTTCCTCCCTGATCTAGTAAGTCGTGCCTATTTCTCAGGAGGCGAGAGAGTAGGATTAGGACGTCACTTTCTGACCAAAAGTCTCCCGCCTTGATCTTCAACTGCTGGAGCTCAGCTAGCGTGTTTGGATTGAACCAGCGTAAATTGACAGTCCTTGTGTGTTCGTAACGAACGAATACATCTGTAGCAGACACCTGGTGAGTGTCTGCTGAAAGGATGAGTACTGCCACTCCCCCTGGTGGAAATTGCTCTCGAATAACTTTGGCTATTTCGGCCTTAAAACGTGCTTCCCCTGTCATTTTTCCTAGCAAAGGTGTAAGAAAACCAGCCGGTGTTCCATGAACAGTTACTTCTCTGTGTTGATTCAACTGGTTCAGAAAGACCAACCTCCCATTCCCCTTTACTTTGTCTAACTGGCAGGATCAAAATGCCTGGTTTGGATAGTGACAGTTCTACGAAACCTTTCGCAAGTAAAGATTGCAGTTTCTGTCTTTTGCTGACTATCATGTCATCCGGCGGTGAAAGAGGGGGGAGAGAGAGTTGTTTTTGCAGCACGTTAGATTGGAATTTTGTTATTTGGAGGTTTTCTTCCTTTGTCAGCTGTGGATTATTTTCATTAACATAATTTGTCTTTTCTAGTTCCTCGTGACTTCCTCCTTCCTCTGATTGCAGTTCCCCGTGTCTAACCTTCTCTTGATGTTTCTCCAACAAGTCTTCTTTAGACTGGGGCAGCAACAAAAACTTACTCTCCCCTGTTAATTCCGATACCACTTCTTTGATGCTGTAGGTAGTCATGGATTCTTTCTCCCTTTTAGGTGGCACATCTTCCCATTTCAACAACGGATATCTATCCCCTGACTCTTCCCCTTGTGATTCCTCCCCCAACCTTTCTCCCTACCGATATCTATCCCCTGTCTCTTCCCCTTGCAATTCCTCTCCCACTGGTTTTCCAATCCCAGGATCTTCCCCCACTGACCCTTTCTCCATTTCCTCACCTTTTTTCCTTTCCCTGCCTCTGTCTCCTTGTTGTCCCATTAATCTCCCCTTCCCTTGCTCCCTATCAGGTCCGCTGCCCTCTTCGGGCTGTTGTGGTGGAAATTTAAAACACACACACACACACACACACACACACACACACACACACACACACACAGGACCTACAACTATTGGACCATCTGCTCAAAGTCTCTGCCTTTTTGGAGGGGCAGAAAGATTTCAGATTAAGGGAGAAAAAATAAAAAACTTTATCAGCTGTATGGCACACCTGCTTTAAGATGGAGTAGAACAGAGGCGCCCAGCAGACGAGTCCCACAATGGCACAGCAAAAAAGAAACACCACAGCCGTCAAGCTCCTACTAGTGTCGGAGAGACGCATGTCAAAGATGTCTCAGAATATGAACCTGTTCATCAAAACACACACAGCAATAGTACTTGCTATAAGTATAGTTATTATTATAATAAACTGTCAGAGGCAGTTGAGGGGGGATAACACAGTCTAGCCCAATCCTTTAGCATCAAAATACTGGCAGTAAATTGTAAACTCCCAAGACAGAGACACATGCCAAGCACTAAAAATACTGGAATCCAACTTGCAAGCAGCAAGAAAGCAAGCATACCAATGTTTCGGGAGTGAGCGGTGGGGGTCGGGGGGGGGTCGGGGGGGGAGGAAGAGAGAAGAAACCCGTACCTATATTTAGCTGCTTAAAGCACCAGTTCATCCGAAGCTAAGTTGGGCGCTTACCGGTGTACACGGTAAGAGCATACCTCTTCGGGCCCGGGACGGTAGTCTCCTGTGGAGGCCACGAAGAAAAAAGGCCGAGTTGAAGGCTCTGGAGGCTTGGAAGGTAGCTTCATATACAAATAGCCTTGGCTGAACTGGTGGTTTAAACCACCAGTTCTTCCAAGACACTTTTCTCCGGGGCTGGACACGAACTGCCGCGCGCCTCCTTTGGTTGGCCCCCCAAGCCATTTTGCACCAGAGGCCGAGCCCCGAAAGTTGTGGCTGCACCTTAGCCGCATGTCTTATTCTTTCGCTTGGAAACTTACTGGTGGTTTAATCAACTTTAATGACTGAAAATAGGACACAGTGTGCACATATACATACAGCTCTTTATCAACAGGTTACGCGTTCAAGTTCTATATGGCGCAATGATCTGAGGAAATGTGGCCTCTTTGCAAAAAATATGCTTTCAAAAAGTGTCTTACACCAGCCATACATGGATGGGCCCAGCCCCTGTCCCGAGTCCCCGAACGTTTCAGAGAAGCTCATTCGTGACTCTCTACATGTACTAGTGGTTTAAAAAGTAATAAAAAGTAGTAAATCTTACTTTCTGAAATTGCATTACTGACAAAAAGAAGCTGTAGCTGCCCTCTGGCTGAATGAATGGTAACCTTTGTAACTGTCTAAAAACAGATTATAATTATACGCCCAAAATTCATATCCTGGTGATAGAATGATGTTAGGGGTCACCGTTCCAGGTTTGGACAAACCCAAATAAAAGCACAGAAAATGGATAGTGGGGCTCCTTGAAGACTGGCCCACTATCCATTTTCTGTGCTTTTATTTGGGTTTGTTCAAGGAGGCCTGCAAAAAAGCAGGCCCTGTCCTTCGGGACATCCGTTAAAATCGGAACGACACAGCGGAGATTAGCATGGCCCCTGCGCAAGGAGGGGAGTGGGGGAGGGGAGGAGGAGAAGGCCTACCCAACCCATATGGCTGAGTGGTACACCCATGGACCGTCGATAAACAGACCTGAGTTTGAGTCAGGGTCAAATCGCATCAGTAAAAAAACTCCGAGGAGCGCAGGGTCTGCATGTATCTGATTGCAACTACATCCACAGAGGAGTTGATTTCCATTTTCTGTTTTTCTTTTTTGAAAAACAGAACCTTACGATTCCAGCTCCTTATCCATTCTGGGGAGCATCAATCAAGTTCCTATTCTGGCGAGCATCAATCCGGTTCCTTTTTTTTCCCCCCTTTTTTTTCTGTTAACCACTAGTACCTTTACCGCTTCAGAAATGAGGGAAAACGCCAGCTCCCAAAGAATTCGGAGGCCAGGCCCAACGACGGCTGCCATTGATAAATCTAATCGGCGGCCGTCGTTTCGTTTCGGTCGGAGGCCCGTTATTTTCCGAAAAGGTACTAGTGGTGTTCAATGTAGCATTTCATTATGATATCAGAAAAGGAGGGCCGATTTCAACAAGCCGAAGCTGGGTAATGGCCCAAGTTCTCCCGGTTGTTAGTGGAGGGATTCCTGTCCCCTCCGGTTCCTATTCTGGGGAGGCTGCGGCGCATCATTACTTTGAAAAAGTGATCTCTTGCGAGCGCCTGCAAAGCACTGAAGATTTGACGCGCAGTGTTGATAGCTTTGTTATGTTTCCAGAAAAAAGATTCTGTTTTTTTGAATCCAGAAACCAGTACTACTAAAGTGGCTATACATACCAACTTTTTCACAGATCTCGATGCTTTGATAGGAACTGGAAGTTTTGAAACTGGTTGGTATACTACCATAATGAAGTTACCTTCCGGTTCCTATTCCTCGGGGAAGTCAGATAAATAGAAAGTGAACAAACCCTGACCCATCTCCTCATTATGGTTGAGAGAGCCGCGCGGGCCGCATTGATGATTACTTCCCGACGGAAGGATGTACCTCCCCTCCTCACCCCTGCCTAAGCTAGCCTTCTTACAACTTCCTTCCCCATGCAGATAATCCCCTTTTCTTTCCTGGCTGTTCACCCATTCCTTTCTAAACTTAGTCAATGAACAAATACGTCGTGTACCAACAGTTAAACAACATTTTTTTCCCTTTCATCTTTGTCACTTTGCTAGCCAGACTTCTGAGGCCTCTGCTTTGACATGCAACATTTTTTTTGCCTTTCATCTTTGTCACTTTGGGAGCCAGACTCCTGAGGCCTCTGCTTTGACATGCACCCTCGATGGCCTCCAAACGTTCGATTTTATGGTCGCATCTGCAAAAGGAGAATTTGGCACCCATATACTTCGCTCCACCATTCCTTTCTGTTCTACCTCAGAACCCTATGCCTTTTTATCCCTCCTCTTAGTCTCTAGCCCTGCTCCCTGGTTAAAAGAGACCTCGAACAGTATCCAAACGCCTTCCACAGAGAAGTTGACAAAGTCCTGTCGTTTTCCCCCGAATACAACGCACCCTCAGTATGCCTGCATCTAACCGGAAAGATGGCTTGTATACTTTCATTTCTATCCGGGTGCGTTATGTTGGGGTGAAGACGGTAGTGTGCGTATGCCCTGAGACAGGCTGGCAAATGGGAACAAAGAGAACCGAAAAAGGAAGGCAAAGCCCTTCGGGACAGCCTTTACAGTTCGAACGATACAGAGAAAGAAAATTAGCATGGCCCCCGCACAAGGATGACACACATGAATCGAGAAATGGTTCAAATTATATTTAAAAAAAAAGGAAAAAAAGGACGGCAAAGGTGGTGAGTTTCCAGAAATGATGGTTGGTGCAAACGCCGACAAAGGCATGACAGCAGTATTTCCAGAAATGTGCAATGTCTATTGAACGGCCACGCCACCCTGATGCAGCACCTCTACGTTGAACGCGGGTGATAGCAGTGTTGAATCCACGTGGCCCATTTCTCCAACTACATGAAAATACCAATTTGCCCGTGAAAGATCTCTTGACCAACAGAACGGTCTGCCACGAGATTGGCTTCCTGGATCACAAAAGATTCGTTAGTGATCCAGGAAGCCAAGCACATGGCAGTCACGTGGCAGGGTTTAGCCAAGTGACGTGGCGTCGATACCGTGAGTAGAATGAGGAAGAAGATCAAGTTGGTCAAAAGAAGAATAGTTTGATGCGTTGGCCGGACGCTACCGTCTTCCCCCAAACATAACGCACCTTGAAAATGAATGTACATACGCTATCTTTTGGTCCGCTGCAGCCAAAACGAGGGTGCATCGTGTTCGGGGGAAGATGGTAGTTGCCTGCAAGCATAGCGACCTCTTGCCCCCCGCCCTAGGCGGTGGTCGGTGAGTAGGGGGGGGGCGCCGGTGGGGGGGGGGCGGCTAACACAAAGACCGAGCATTTTGCCAGTAGCTGCACCTCCCATCTACTTCCCTGGCAAACAGAACCGCCTGGTAAACCGTAGGGCGAGAGGGAGAAGAGTTCAAAAAATGAGGGGCTGTGACAAACTGTTTCATCGGAGTTTTACCGACTCACGGCCTAGTTCAGTTGGAAGGCATGCAAGTGGCATTCAGGAGGTCGTGAATTCAATCCCAATTGGCATCATGTACCTTCCTGGGAATGCTTGGCACCCGCCACCTAGAGATAGACCACTGGACCCCCCCATCGGCATTGAGCTGAGTCTGATGATGTTGTTCGTAGGGGGGGGGAGCTGAGGGGAGGCACAGGGATTGGTCCTGTTGGCATGGTCCCTGATGCTACCGGCTGTCCCCTGGGCGGTCTCGCCCACCTGCAGGTCGGGAGCAGCCCCCGCATGTTCTCTTGTGAACACGGTTCTGGCTGCAACGGGGTTCCCCGTATGACTATAATTAGTAGTAGTGGCAGGTCACCTGACATACAGGCTGCCTATAGGTCGAAGTAACAGGAACGGTTGGGGGGCCTAGTACGGACTGCTGATCTATGGCTGGCGTTGTTGAGATAAGGGCCTTAGTAGGGATCGTGTGCTGAGGGCTCCCTTAGGCATCGAATAGGGTAGATAGTCTACCTCCCACATTAACAAAAATAGCTCACAACCAACAACAATTATAGCAACAACAGAACAAGCATATTAGACAGTGAACAACCTAACAACAAGACCAGTAGCAACAAATAACTGTGTACCCAACGGTAGGAACAGGAATAGGTCCACCTATGAGGCTTGTAGAGAATGTCCATACCTAGCGCCTGAAGTACCCGTGTGACGGGGCTGGTACGACAATGCTTCGATTAGGGCTGAGTAGGGTAAGTGGGACTCTGCTTAGCCCTGGTACGACTATGCTTCCATTAGGGCTGAGTAGTGTAAGTAGGGGTGCGCCAAGGAGAAATTACAAGAGTGGAAGGTTAAGGAGAAATTACGAGAGTGGAAGGTTGGGAGGGAGTCTCCGGGGCCCTCTATCGACTGTCTGAGAAACCACATGGCCTAGTGCCGAAGGTGACTGTCATATGTCCAGTATCCGTCCTCTACCCCAACCTGGTCTTTTTTTTTTTCCTTCAACAAGTAGTGGTAGGTAGGTAGTGTGAGGTGAAATTGAGAGAAGAATGTAGCTTACTTTAAGGGGGGGGGGAAATAAACAAATTATAAATATATCTTATAATATTATTAAATTATATCTAGGCTACCAGCCGGGCCGCCCGTTATATCTAGGCTACCAGCCCGTGCAAGGACAAGGGAAGGTCACAGCGGAAAAAAAAAAAAATCCAAAAAATCTGAAAAAATACTATGTTATGTAGAAAAATAAACTAAACAACTTTTGCCTCAGGCTCACATCGAAATTCTTTACCAAATTAAAAATTTAAAATAAAAATTTAAAAAATATATATATTTTTTATCTTTTGGCCCGGCCAGGCAAGTGACCCCGGGCCACTATGGTAGCCTAGAATTATATACATTTTTATTCTTTTTTGGGAAAGTTTTTGAAATGCCCCTGAAGTTCGCATTTATTTGCGATTTGCCCCTCCAACGGTCGACTTACCCTGATATGCCCCTGGGCCTCTGAACTTTCGTGCAGGCCCCTGCTAGTGAGGGGCACAACTTTTTGGAATTTGCGATGCCCTCCAGCCGGGAGACCCTAAGAATTTGAATTCAAACCCCATACTTTTCCAGGCCGTCGCGCAAAAAAATGGGCTGCACTCCATGTCGTGTCCACTACTGCAATCCACCGTGTAGTGCATTCTTCAGCTACTGCGACCCACCGCCGCCTTGGACGTCCGGAGGCTGGTCAAGGTCAGTGTTCCTCCCCTTGTTCCAAGCCTCACACACACACACACACACACACACACACACACACACACACACACACACACTTATACACACACGCACACACCCACACACCCACACACAAGTGTGGCAGTGTATATTTCCATGTTCTAGCTGTAGGTTCATTCGATTTTGCTCATCCTATCGATGGAAGTACCATGAGGCCAGCTGCGAGATTGGAGACCTGCTCTCTCTTTCTCTCTCTCTCTCTCTCTCTCTCTCTCACACACACACACACACACACACACACACACACACACACACACACACAAGTGTGGCAGTGTATATTTCCATGTTCTAGCAGTAGATTCATTCGATTTTGCTCATCCTATCGATGGAAGCACCATGAGGCCAGCCGTGAGGTTGGAGACTTACCTGTTCTCTCTCTCTCTCTCTGTGTATATATATATATTGTCACATCACTACAAACTAAAAGAGCGCACTTTGCGGAACAAAGCATAAAAGCAAAAAACGGGCACAGTGATAACATGCAAAAATAAAAACAAAAAGAAAAAACAAGGGCAGATTGAAACCATTAAATTTCTCATTCTTCTTTGAACTCCACCTCCACTGTGCCTCTCACGTGCAAGGCTCGC